CTCTAAGCAATGCCTCCAGCTGCCCACTGGCTCTGCGCAGGCACTGCGCTACACTCCCCTATGACTAAGGAGTGGGGTCCAGGTACAAAGGTCCAGAAGAGGGGACACTGAGACTATTGCCACTTGAGACTGCCCCACTGACGTTCCAAAGGTGGCTTTTGGCGATCAGGAGTAGTAACTGAGATTTTCAGCTTTGGTGCTGACTCAGTATGCTACCCGGGGGTGGGGGTGGGGGGTCTTGTGGAGTCCCTGAGCATAGTAAAATCCTTCTGGGGCGCCTGACTTGCTGGTGGTCCAGGACATCGATGTTCTAGAATATGGGCGAGAAGTGAGCCGCAAGCCCAGAACTGCAACCCCTGGCCACCTCTCCTCAGGCACCGAGGACTTGGTGTTGGTGGACTGGGACCCAGAGAAATAAAGGGATTCCCAGAGGCCTCCACTAAGGTGGAGGACTAGGTCCAACTGGTGTGTGTGTGTGTGTGTGTGTGTGTGTGTGTGTGTGTGTGTAAGGGGTGGGGGTTCTGACACGCTTAGTCTAGGTGCTAATCAGTCTCCTCCCCGGGCTCTGTCCACAGGGTTACTCTTCCGTGAGCAACATGAACGCTGGCCTGGGGATGAACGGCATGAACACTTACATGAGCATGTCCGCGGCCGCTATGGGCGGCGGTTCCGGCAACATGAGCGCGGGCTCCATGAACATGTCATCGTATGTGGGCGCTGGAATGAGCCCGTCCCTAGCTGGCATGTCTCCGGGCGCGGGCGCCATGGCGGGCATGAGCGGCTCAGCTGGAGCAGCCGGCGTGGCAGGCATGGGACCGCACCTGAGTCCGAGCCTGAGCCCACTCGGGGGACAAGCGGCTGGGGCCATGGGTGGCCTTACTCCCTATGCCAACATGAACTCGATGAGCCCCATGTACGGGCAGGCGGGCCTGAGCCGCGCGCGGGACCCCAAGACGTACCGGCGCAGCTACACACACGCCAAGCCTCCCTACTCCTACATCTCCCTCATCACCATGGCCATCCAGCAGAGCCCCAACAAGATGTTGACGCTGAGCGAGATCTACCAGTGGATCATGGACCTCTTCCCTTTCTACCGACAGAACCAGCAGCGCTGGCAGAACTCCATCCGTCACTCGCTCTCCTTCAACGACTGCTTTCTCAAGGTGCCCCGCTCACCGGACAAGCCTGGCAAGGGCTCCTTCTGGACCCTGCACCCCGACTCGGGCAACATGTTCGAGAACGGTTGCTACTTGCGCCGCCAGAAGCGCTTCAAGTGCGAAAAGCAGCTGGCGCTGAAGGAAGCCGCGGGTGCGGGCGGTGGCGGAGGCAAGAAGACAGCCGCTGGGACCCAGGCTTCTCAAGCTCAGCTCGGAGAAGCCGCGGGCTCGGCCTCCGACACTCCGGCAGGCACCGAGTCCCCCCATTCGAGCTCTTCCCCGTGTCAGGAGCACAAGCGAGGCGGCCTGGGCGAGCTGAAGGGAACACCCGCCTCCGCGCTGAGCCCCCCAGAGCCGGCGCCTTCGCCTGGGCAGCAGCAGCAGCAGGCTGCAGCACACCTGCTGGGCCCACCTCACCACCCGGGCCTACCACCGGAGGCCCACCTGAAGCCAGAGCACCATTACGCCTTCAACCACCCCTTCTCTATCAACAACCTCATGTCCTCCGAGCAGCAACACCACCACAGCCACCACCACCATCAGCCCCACAAAATGGACCTCAAAGCCTATGAACAAGTCATGCACTACCCTGGGGGCTATGGTTCCCCCATGCCAGGCAGCTTGGCCATGGGCCCAGTCACGAACAAAGCGGGCCTGGATGCCTCGCCCCTGGCTGCAGATACCTCCTACTACCAGGGAGTGTACTCCAGGCCTATTATGAACTCCTCCTAAGAAGATGGCTTTAGGCCTGGCTAGCTCTGGCCACTGGGAGAAGGACCAGAGAAAAGAGAGGCTGCCTGGAAACTTAGAGAGAGCTTTGAGGAAGAAGTAGCCACCAAGCAGGCCCCAAGTGTGCAGTTTCACCCCACTGCCTGCACCCCTAAATAGATGGTCCATGTTGATCTGCCGTTCTAAATAGGGAAGGGAATGGAAATATATATATACATATATAAACAATTTTTAAAGGAGCCTTTGGTTTCCACCCTGTAGACTCCTCCTCCTCAAGGCACCTGCAGATTCTGATTTTGTTCTCCACTGTTGATGTTGCAGGGAAGTCTGACTTAAAAACTTTTGTGACTGACTTGGTGTAAAACCATGTAGTTTTACAGAGAACCAGAGGGTTGTACTGATGTTTAAAAGGAGAAAAAAACAATAATGTAAGAGTCTGGTGTAAATGACCAGGAGAAAGAAAAAAAATGCATCCCATTCTGGACATGGTGAAATTCAGGTCTCTGGTCTGATTTAATTTATGGTTTCTGCGTGCTTTATTTATGGCTTATAAATGTGTGTTCTGGCTAGAACAGCCAGAGTTCCACAAATCTATATTAAAGTGTTATTGCCGATTTTACCCCTTGGGTCCTTTTTCTTCTGACCTCTCTCTCTCTCTCTCTCTCTCTCTCTCTCTCTCTCTCTCTCTCTCTCTCTGTCTCCTTAAAAATTAAACAGGTGTATAAATTATTGCAAGAGAATGGAAGGGAGGTGGGAGTTCGTTGCAGGGATTTTGTGGGAGGCTGGGGGTCAGTGTTGCTGTTTACCCAAGATTTTATTTAAATATCAAAGTTGAATGGATTTTCCTGTAAGCACCACTGCTGATTCCTAGGAACATCTCCCATTCCCCATGTTTGCCCACCTGGCCACACCCCCCATCTTGCCTCCCCAAATGCATTTTTCATAGTGAATGAGAGACAATCCCTAAATAATGCAGCAACTACTTCAGTAAACAAATAAAGATTGTTCATGGTCACTTTTGAATTTTTCAGGTTAATATTGCTAAACATGACAGAACACATAAGTCCCTGATGGACCATGCCATATTGCTGTTTATGCATATTGCTATTTGTATTAAGGTGCAGAGATCCTAAGTAGCCCTGGCTGGCCTAGAACTCACTTTGAAGACCACCCTCCTGCCTCTGTCTCCCCAGTGCTAGGATTACCAAGCCCAGCTAAAGTCCACTAATGTTATTTGTAAAGCCAGGAGCAAAAATACTCTATTTTCCACCCGAGTTACTGGAAGGTGTGTTGATGCCGAGGCCCTTGGGTTCTAGGGCTGGCTGTGCAAAGAGAAAGGCAGAAATTTATATGTGTTAGCTGTATTTTTTTTTTTTAATCTTAGGCTTCTTGGCTAGTCGGTGTGCTTAGGCAGGATTTACAGATTCTTGGCACATCATTTTGGTTCTTCACAACCACTTCTGGAATACAAACCCCTTGACTTTCCAGTGGAATCCAGATCACCCGTGGCTCAAGTCTGTGACACCTCTCCCCCCCCACACTCACCTGCTTGTCTTACCCCCTCCTCTCACAGGTGTTATCCTGGTGTTGGGAAGCCTTGCTAGTCTAGAGATGATGAGCCACCTTATTGGAGGAAACATTCTGAATATTGTTCTGGAATTGTTTTTAGTTGAACAGCGCAGGGTGATCTCCAGATCTCCTTTTATAAAGCTATATTGGGAGATGTGGAGGTAGTGTAGGGTGTCTTGAGCAGCTTACCAAATGACTCTAAAGTAGTGAGATCCCAGTATGTCAAGATTGGTGTCCCCCTTCTACCAGGTAACCCTTGTGGCCTGACAGAGCTCTCTCTTAGCTCAGAATTTCAGATGGACAAACCAGGATTGCAGCCCAAGGGCTGAATGGGTGTTTTGGGAGCCTCCAGGGAAATACTGTTGTTCCACCTCTCTGCTGGTGCTCCACATTTGACAGGCAACTAATTCTAGCGGAAATGGGCTTTGCAAAGGGAACCTCTTCACACTGGCTTGCATCTCCTGCCCTGCAAGCTGCCTGGGCTAGAGTAGGAAGCAGCATTTTCTTTTCTTTTTTTCTCTCCAGTCTGACTTTAGGGTCAATCCCATGGAAGTAAAAAAGTTCGTTGTTTAAAAACCCAAGCAGGCATCAGAGGTGTATCTAATCTCGGCTGAAGCTCAGCGCTCACATTTGGCAATTCCTAACTATTCCAACCTGTCTGTCCCACAAGAACCTCAGTTCAAGAGATCGCCTCTCTGGGAGCTTTCTGACACCTAGCTCATCCCTTTCCCTCCTCCTCAGGCCTGGCCTTCTTGCGTTTGTGAGTGTGGTGTGTGTGTGTGTGTGTGTGTGTGTGTGTGTGTGTGTGTGTGTGTGTGTGCGTGCGTGCGCGCGCTTCCCCCCCCCCCAAATCCCCTTTTAACAAGCCACATTGTTCCGAAGAACACAAGGAAGAGAAATTGAAGGAGGGGGACCCGCAGGCTTCGGCCAGCAATCAGGCCTTCTCTTTGCCTGGCCAGGACACACACGTCGCGAGCTCGGCCTGAAATGTGTTTCATTATCACATAAAAGGCTCCTGTGGCGAAGGAGCGGAGAGGCAGGGCCGGGGGCTGAGTGGGGGACAATAGAGGCTGAAAGCGCTGCCCTAACCTGCTATGTTTCTTATCGCACGCCCATTGTTCGAGGGTCGTTTTAAACTACTTAGCGCGCCCCCCTCCACTGATCCCTGCCGATAAGATATAGTTCTGGGCGAATACATAAAAAGGATGTCGGGGAGCTGCGCCCTCGAGGCTTTTCTGCCCTTCTGGTGTCTTCTCCCCTCCCCACATCAGTTCCCTCCCCTAGTTTCCAAGTTTAGGAGCTCAGGGACCCCCCCAACTCGACACATTGCTGGGTGCAGCGGCTCCCCCCCTCCTCTTTTTCTTCCTGTTGCCTGTCGCCTTCCTTGCGCGGGCTTAAGCAACCGTGATCTGTGAATAAACAAAGTCAGTAAACAACCGAAAAAAACATTCTAGATCCGAATTCCAGGAGGGTAAACTTTCCATGCCACGTCACACTTCAGCAAATTTGCACAGATATTATATTGCCGTCCCCCCTCCTTTATTATTCTTTTTTTTCCAGGATCCCATTGTACTTAACTGAATTTTATAACGCTGATCGATATCTTGGTAAAATATTCATTTTTAAACTAGCGGGCAGTGAAATCTTTGCTTTGTGTGCTAAAGTCAACAGTCGCTCAGTTTGAGCTCAAATAAATGCAGGGATGCCTCGGCTGGGAGCAGTCCGCCGCCTCCCTCCGAGCGCAGGACGCTCCGACGCCCGCCTGCCCGCAGGCCACCGCAGGTAGGGAGCGCGCCCACTCGGGGACCACGCCCGGGCACCCCGCACAGAGTCCGCTCCCCACTCGGGTCCACACGCCTCCCCTCCCCCAGTCAGTCGCGAGCTCGGGTTCCTCTAAGAGGACTGGGAGGTGCACCCAGTGGATGAAGACCCTGGGGGTTGGGAAGTAGTGTTTTTGCGGGGGAGTGGGAGATTCGAGACTTCTTTGAAGAATGAGAAGTCTAGTGATTTAAAACTTCTTAGTCTGGGCGGGTTCCAGAGACGATGAGAAGTGAAGACTGATACCTGCAGCTTTATCCGTTGGAGAGTAACAGAGAGCGACTAGTTCCTAAGAGCTGGGTGGGGAGGCATGAGGGAGCCCTTGGTCTCAGAATCTAGAGTGCGGTCTGGCCGGTGTGTGCCTGAAGCTGGGAAATCCTGAGAGGCGGAGGTCACAGCGTGCGGGGAGCATACATCTCTGAGTTCTGTTCTCTGCTGCCTCGCGGATCACCTCAAACCAGGGCAGCTCCAAACGGGTGCAGTGGGTGGGGGGTGAGGAGTCAGTACCTTTCCTGGAAGCGAGTCACTTTTGCTCTCGCTCGCAAGAAGTGGCTCTGGCCTTTACGCTGCAGAGAGCCACCTGGGTCACCTGGGCCCAGCAGAGAAAGTCAAAGCATGTTGCGGGGTCGTCTATCATCTCAGTGCCACTACCGCCCAGTCGTGCTTCCCTGAGGCAAGGAGAGCGCTCTGGGGTGTTGCACTTGAGCGTGTAGGTATTGAAGAACAGGACTTTGGAAGAAAGACTAGACTCCAGCTTTTCTTTCCGATGCTAGCGGGAAGTACCAACCTTGCTTCCACGGTAGTCTGTTGAAAATACAATTATTTTCCGAATTGGCAGGGTCCAGAATAGATCTCTTTTGGGCCAGGGGTGTGGCTCAGCGATAGAAGGTTGTCTTGGGTGTAAAGCTCGGAGTTCTATGCCCATCAGCGGGGGAGGGGGTGGGGGGAGAAAAACATCTCCGCGGTCTACCGGTCCCTCCATTCTTTCCTAACCCGGCTTTTTCCCAGGTTCTTTGCCCTTAAACGCCTGATGCCTGGCATTGTTAGAAACCCACTTCCACTTGGGTTTTTCTGAGACGCGCTAGATAAACAGCCCGAGGCTATTTCCTATCACCCTAACTGGAAATGTATTATAGACTGCACTGCCATCTGCAGATAGTAAACCCGGTGGGCGAAACAGTCCAACCGACCCTCTGCGTCCATGCTACGGGCATCACCAAAAGTGCGCAATCTAGGCACACTATCCGGTCCTGCCTTTGCATCCCAGGCTGCAGGCCCACGTTAAGGACATTGGAAGTCAACTGGGACGCCCCCTCAGCGCTCCAAGTTGGGACTGTGCCTGGTGTGCCTGGTTGTCTTCCGGGAAGGAGCTGGAAAGCCTGCAGGACACACGGCGAGGCTAATCGTTTTTAAATAATTAATGCCTTCCTATTCCTCTGATCATGCGGGGCCTTGAATCCGTCAATTACTTGTCATTAGACGAGTGTCGCCCCACGGCCTTCCCTCGAGCCTTTGATGGCTCCGGGTCACCTAGCCCTGCCCACTCCACGGCGGAATTAAAAGGTGCCCGGCCTTTGAGAACTGGTGCAGAGTAGCCACGGCCCTCAATTCAGTGAGAGTTTAGAAAGAAAGACCCTCGGTGAAGAGATGTAATCTTTCAAATGGCCAATTTAAACGCCTGATCTTTATCGCCCTCCTCCTCCCGACTAGACAGAGAAGGCAGTCCGTAGTGCTTTAGGGGCTTTTAATGTGAAAGTGGGGCGAGGGGAGCGAGCGATAAGGCTTAATAGGGCCTAGGGGAAAGAAGGCCAGAGGACATACCTGGGGATACCTTGAAGCCACTGTTCGGTTTTGTTGTTGTTCCCCCCAACCCCCGCGCGCAGCACGGAAGCTAGGGGTGCTCCCACTCCGGAGGAGCAAGGACCCCTATTTCAGGCGAAGCAGGGACCCCAACTGGTTCTTTTCACCCTAGGCAAGATACTGGATGTAACAAAGGGAACGCTGAGAATGGTCCCGGTTCTTCCAGCTTCTGTGGATCCAGAGGTGCCCTACAGCAGAGACCGACTAAGACTCACACATGGGCCTCACTCAAGTCCTGTCTCACAGGACAGATGCCCCCTCACCCCTGCAAACAACAACAACAACAAAAACCACACCTGCTAGCCTTAATCCCAGTCGGGATTCTCTGCCATGGCAAAAGAACAAGGGTTCAGACTTGAGGTGTCTGCCTTAGATCAAGACAGTGATGATATGGCACCATAGCAACGAAGGCCAGCCAGCCAGGAGAGTACTCTAGTGAAATGAAAAACGTAAAGTCAAAACAAGGGGGGGAAGGCCACCAAAAGTTTGCAATTCGATTTAGTTACTCTTCTGGCCAGTTCCTTCCTGGGTCTAGTAGGTTCTTGTTGTTTTATTTTTGGCAGGAAGTAAATATGGCAAAGTCTCAGGACCTTATTATCTGTTCACTCTATTGAGCAAAAACTATGAGCTGGGTCTCTACCATTCTTGGGCTGAGAAAGCATCTCTCTCCGCAGGGGCCTTAAATGTATTTTTAACACCCTCTTTCCCCAGGAGAGGCTTTCATGGGGGGGGGGGGGGGATCAGATGTGGAAGAAGAAAGGTGGAGGGCCCTTTGTGTCTGGCCCACCCGGGAGCCTAGGCTTCCTTTCAGTCTCCACATGCCCTGCCTTTCCAAGCAGAAATACCAGATTAGAATAAAAAATAAACAAATAAAATTAATGAGAAATGCCAGATATGGATAGGCACCTCCATATCAGAGCAAAGAGAAATAATAAGGAACTGACATGTCCCTGAGGGAGCTCAGTAGGACTCCAGCTCCTAGTGGGCCTGAGCTCTTTTTGACAAAACTCCCATACTCTCTGTCACTCCAGGGGTTGCCTCGGAAGCCTAAATCCTGGGGCATCTTCCCTATTCTGTTCACAGCCTTCCTGCCCACTCTCTTATCCCTTTTCTTTTCTTCTTTAAAACAATAATGTGTGTCTCCCTCACTCCCTCCTCCCATTGTATTTGTTGATGACCTAACACGCTCACACCAAAAGCCACACACAGAAAACCAACAACGTGGGATGGGAGGAAAGACCAATTATGACTGAGGCTAACAAGCAGGGAACACCCAAGTAGAAGCTGGCTGTCTCCTGGGAGACTGATAGAGGCTTATTTTACAAGCTGTAATTCTGTCCTGGTCCCTATCTCCAGACTGGAAGTGATGCCTCCTCTCCCCTCCCCCTTAGCCCTGTGCTCTTGGAACCCATTCCAGAGCTTCAGCAAATTCTTTGGGAGAATCTCTCTGAACAGGTGAAGAGAGCAGAGGTGTTTTCCAAGCTTGTCTTTAGAGTGTCAAATTTAATTTTAAGTCAGTGTCAGTTACTCTCAACATTGTGACACCCACGTGAACACCACCTGGATTCGCATTAAAAAGCACCCCCTCGCGCGCCCCTCGTGGTGTGTGTATGTGTGTGTGTGTGTGTGTGTGTGTGTGTAGCTAGGAGTGCTAAAAGAAACAACATAAATTAAGTTACAACATGCCTGGATTTAACTCCATTTTGCTAATTAGAAAATGTCCCAGCAATGTTGGCTGAGGATGTCAACAACACTGTATTCTTGACTTAAACATTTTTTAGTCTAGAAGGAAAATGTCAGCATCACAAACATGTATAAAAGAGAAGTCCGGGTGTATTTCATACAGCTTTAGCCTAGAAGAGACATGTCAGCATCACAAATATATAAAGAGGTCCGGGTTTACTTCATGCACAGGGGCGTGACTGCCTATGTTGAAAGTTTGGAACAAGCCATGCATGTGTTGCCTTTTAGTTCCGCTTGCTTTTGTGATTCTGCTCACATGTGCTTGAATGGTTCAGAACCAAATTATTTCCCCCATATATAAATTAGTTTTCCCCCTAGTTTCATTTATTTGAAAATGATGAGAAAATTTCAAGAATACAGAGAGATGTTTGTGTATGTGTGGGGGGGGCTAGATCATAAGCGATATAGACCAAAATAAAATTACCTGTGTGTCTGTGAACTTGCTAGCTCCTCAGAAATTTGATCTACACTTATAAAGCAGATATAACTGTATAATGAGTTCTCTTGGCTGTTGCTTGTTTGCTTAAGGCAACATATCAAATTCTTAATTTGAAACCATGAATGTTAAATGTGCAACACTTAAAAATATAGAACGCAGCCTTGGGATGTTTGGAGGGTAAGGCTTGAAAGGAGCAAAGGCATGAGGAGGGCTGTAGAGAACTGGCAAGAATGCAGGACCATATCTCACTTCGGTGAAGGAATGGGGATATAGTGTGAGCCAGGGCAGCACCTGGGCCATAGGGAGCTCTGTGTGGAGGTCAGAAACATTTTTAACAAAGAAATCAAGTTGTTATGATTCGTTAGGAGATATAGCTAGAGATGAGTGCATGCCTATGCTCTGGGTTCCACCTCCAGCATATGGAGAAAGAAATATTATATAGTGTTTCGTGTTATATGAAATACACTGGTCTACTCAAGGTGTTTACCTTACCTTTTAAAGCTCTTTCTAAAGTGAGACTGACTTCACCAAGGGCCCCCTGTTTCTTCTGCAGTTCAGATCTACTAAAAGAACTCTATGTCTTGCTGGTTGGGATATTTTGCCTTCTTCCCAGAGTAAGGAGCCCATTTCTTGGCAGGACTCCCCTGCCTGTCACCGCAGGCCCCTTCCCAATACTAGACACCCCATCATCCTTCTTTATCACAACTCTATTCAGTCCCGCCCCTACTGAATGGAGCATTCCCTTTGCCACACATCCTGGTATGTGCTGTCATCCCTCTGATGGAAGTCAGAATTTATGAGTAATGCTCCTGGGTCTTAGAGTTTGGGAACTTCCTCAGCACTGGCCTTTCAGCTCTCTAGCTGGGACAGATGATTTGTATTTCACCTCAGCAGTCTTTCAACTTGCCAAAGCTTCAAACTG